ACATGCGTACACACGTCCGAAGAGCCAGGTTGGGGCAGATGTTAACAGCACCTGCCACTCTTGCTCTTCTGCGCCCGGTTGATGTCTTCTTCCCAATCTTGCTGATGTCCAGCGACGTTGGGTGTAGTAGGGAAGCCCAGCCAGCTTCGCCTCTTGTCGCCAGTGCCTAAGCGGAAGCTTCCATTACCCGTTCCAGGGTAATCGAAGTATCCAGCGACATTGCCGTTGTTATCCATGGCAGGAGTGACACCAGCCATGGCGTACTGCCGTTGTTCTTCCTCGAGCTTCTTCTGCTGCTGTTCGACCAACTTGCGGGTGATGACGCGAAAGACTTCGTCTACACCCTCGCCATCTTTGGCGCTGATCTCGTGGCAACAGTCCCAACCCAGATCTTGTCCCCAGAAGCCGCTCGATCGGTTGCTCTGTGGCGACGCCATACCGCTGTGGAAGGCTGCCGGTACAGAGCCCCAGCCGCTTGCTGCAGCACTGTGTGGTTGTCCGTTCTGTGTGGGATGGAGGTTCTCGGCGACGTATTCGATGCAGCGCTCGAAGGGCACTTTTCGCTTGGTAGGGTCTTCGGCTACGACGTCTGACTTTGTTCCTACAACGTGGAGGATCACGTCCTCTCCAAGGTTTGTCTTGAGTTCCTTGAACCAGCGGCCCATCTCCTCGAACGAGTACGGATCAGTGATGTCGTAACATAGTACTGCAGCATTTGCGCCTAGAGAAAATGTTAGTTCTGCGCTGAACGTTTGCTCATAGTAGACGATCCGAACTCGGCTGCCGAATGTGGGGTATATCGACAGCGAAAAGAGACCCGATGTGTATTGCGACAGAATACAAGAGTTGATTCGGCGAAAGGAACAATACTAACGTACCCCTATAATACAGCTTGGATATGGACCGGAAGCGCTCCTGGCCTGCTGTGTCCCATATTTGTAACCGAACCACTGTGGAGGTGTCGATATCCACAACCCTCTTTGTCAAGAAGGAAGCACCCACGGTGGACTGTGTCGTGGGAGGCGTAAAAGCGTTTTTGACATATCGGTGGACGAGAGAAGTTTTTCCAACTCCTTGGCTACCGAGGACTACGATCTTTGCTTCCAGGCTGTTGGACATATCGCCGTATTACGCCAAATCTATTTGTATACGTCGGTGTTGGCGGTGCAGGGATGGGGCGGCAGGCGGTGTTGTGGGGTCGGCTCAGATATGCGCGGTCGCGGTGCCTCGGAGCAAGAAAGAAAGGAAATTCGTGGGAGGCGGCGGGAGAACAAGTTGCATGGCGAGCAGTGAGAAAGAGTCGCCGGCAGATGTGAGAAGAGGCAGAGGATTGACGTAGAGGGTATCTTAGAATATTAGGCAGGAGGTGAGTGCCCGAATGACAGCCCAGCTGCGTTTGGCGCTTGCACCGATTCTCTTGGCTAGGGGAGCCATGTGACAGGCGCCTTAAGCCAATGTGAATCAGATCTGAGAAGGGTGCGTCCCAGATGGGAATGTGAATGCCCATCGTGATCGCAGCCCTGGGGACTGATAATCATCCATGGGATGACGCGCCATGTTGATGCTGTGTGTCGGGCAGTCAACAATGCACGTCATGCCCAGCCAGCTGTCGTCTTCCCCGCGTTTCGGAGCAGCACGGAGTCTTCCACGCGACCGACGAGAACGTTAATACCTACCCCAACTAAGCTCCCTCAACGAACGACAGTCCCTGGCCGACACATATATCCTCAAGAAAACCGCCTGCGAAGGACCGATACGGGATGCCTAATGCGACAAGCCCGGAATCGATCTCGCCTCGAGCTCATGGGCTAGGGTGCTAACTCAGATGCGTCTCCGCGACCAGCATCCGAAGGCCGCGGGGATGAATGTACCGAGCTATTACCCCAAACATGCTGCCGTCACCAACCTGGCCCTTCCGCTCGCCCAAGCCCTCTAGTGTCTGGAAATAACCTAGATCGGCTCCATATATTTTCTGGCCTATCTTCGCGTCTTGATTACCTGCCCTTCAACATTTCGCGCTCGACACACCGCCGCCACGATGAACCACGACAGCAACAACACCCAGAAGGTGAAGCTCACCGGTGAACAGGTCGCCCAGCACAACAACGCCGAATCATGCTGGGTCATCATCCACGGCCGCGCCTACGATGTCACCGAGTTTCTGCCTGAGCATCCCGGAGGCCAGAAGATTGTCTTGAAGTATGCTGGCAAGGATGGTACCGAGGCATTCGAGCCAATCCACCCGCCCGACACGCTCGACAAGTATCTCGACAAGTCCAAGCACTTGGGCGAGGTGGACATGAACACTGTCAAGGAAGAGGCAAAGGAGATTGATCCAGATGAGGAAGCGAGGCAGGAGCGCATTGCGCGCATGCCCATTCTGGAGCAATGCTACAACTTGATGGACTTTGAGGCTGTCGCGCGCAAGGTCATGAAGAAGACGGCATGGGCATACTACTCCAGTGGTGCCGACGATGAAATCGTATGTCTCTCTCAACGATCGCTGCCATTGCTTGAGCTAACTTTCGATAGACACTACGAGAAAACCACAGCGCATTCCATAAGATCTGGTTCCGACCACGCGTACTCATCGATGTTGAGAAAGTTGACATGTCCACCACCATGCTCGGCACCAAAGTCGACATACCCTTCTACGTCACCGCGACAGCGCTGGGCAAGCTCGGTAACCCTGAAGGAGAGGTCGTCCTCACGCGCGGCGCACACAAGCACAACGTTGTCCAAATGATACCGACATTGGCATCCTGCTCATTCGACGAGATCATGGACGAGGCAAAAGACGGTCAAGTCCAATGGCTGCAGCTATACGTGAACAAGGACAGGGACGTCACAAAGCGCATTGTGCAGCACGCCGAGAAACGTGGCTGCAAGGGTCTCTTCATCACAGTCGATGCACCGCAACTCGGTCGTCGCGAGAAAGACATGCGAAGCAAATTCGACGATGTCGGTAGCAACGTCCAGAGCACCGGCGGCGACAATGTTGACCGGAGTCAAGGCGCCGCACGAGCCATCTCGTCCTTCATTGACCCGAGCCTCAGCTGGAAAGATATCCCGTGGTTCAGGAGCATTACCAAGATGCCCATCATCCTCAAGGGTGTACAGTGTGTTGAGGATGTTATTCGTGCTGTCGAGGTTGGTTGTGACGGTGTTGTTCTGTCCAACCACGGTGGTCGTCAACTCGATTTCGCTCGCTCCGGCGTTGAGGTTCTCGCAGAGGTCATGCCAGTTCTTCGCGCACGCGGCTGGCAAGATCGTATCGAAGTGTACATCGATGGCGGTATTCGACGTGCGACAGACATCATCAAGGCTGTTGCACTCGGCGCCAAGGGTGTAGGCATCGGTAGGCCTTTCCTTTACGCCATGTCGGCATACGGTCTGCCAGGTGTCGACCGTGCTATGCAGCTGCTGAAGGATGAGATGGAGATGAACATGCGCCTGATTGGGGCTTCAAGCATTGCGGACCTGAATCCTTCGATGCTCGACACAAGAGGACTCAGCATACATACTGCTACCGTACCCCATGACACTCTGGGCATGAATGTCTATGACCCGCTCATTGGCCCTCAAGAGAGTGTTGTCAAGGAGAAGTCCAAGTTATAGAGGAGCTCGTGATTGTACTGTATATATATCTAGGCGCAACACATTTCTTCAAATATTGTCAAGCAATACTTACAGCGAGATGCCGTCTTTGAACCAAGTCAAAATCGATCTGAAATCTCCACATCTTCAACATGTGCCATCATTCACAGCTCTGCGCTATCAAGTATGCCCATGTGGCATCCTTTGTCCGCATCGTGACTACGCGTAGACGCGTTCGGCGAGTGGGGAAGGAGCGCCCGGTGGACCTTCCGATCGTCAAGCGTCCTTGAACCACGGGTCGCTCTTTCCACTTCAATCGCAGCACGCCTCAACCATTCACATTATCGTAACTTATTATTTCCCACATCCCCGCCTTTGAATCACCTTCGCATCATCGCTTTTAGTTTTTGATTATAACTTACTATTATTCCATGGGCGCTCCTGACGTTGCAGCGCAGCCTGGCGCTGGCTGGGACGAGGCGCAATGCACAGCAGCCCTCGCGCAACTGGAGCAGCTTCAGGCGCAGGTGAGATTATTATGCCACCTTCTCTGGACAACTTGTACTGATATGCGACAGATCAGCGACATGCGCCTAGCCATTCCCCGCATCATCGAGCCCTTCCACCGCCCCCGTAGTTCCGCGACGTATAAACTCTACGCCGACGGCGTACTCGGTTCTCAGAAGAACCTCGACTCCCTCAAAAGCCAGTGGAAGTCACCGGAAGTACAGAGCACATTCGAACACGCCAAGCAGAGCCTCAGCGCCAATGCGGATCTGTCAGAGAGCGTCTCGATACCCTCACACGGCTGGGCTGAAAGAGCGCGGAAGGCTAAGGAGTCGACGAAGAGTCAGGGAGGGGAGAATAAAGAGGATACCGGTGCTATTGTCACTGATGAAGATATTGAGAGGATTGTAGTGGAATTTAGGAAGGCGCATCCGAATCTCAAGGTCGACACACATGATGAGGATCGCAGCATCCAGACACGCTTCGTCGCCGGTTCCCTGATGTTGAAATTCCGCGTCGGCATCGAGCGCGACGCGAACGGACGGCACAAACTCAACGCAGAGTGTTTGGGGACAACAGAGCCGTTTTTGGCCATCACAAGATGTATTGCATCACGGCCGAACCCAGATGATTTGAAGTATCTTTTGGTATGTGCATGGGATTTTGTTGCATGGGAATGTATTGGGTGGATGCTAATTATTACAGGATATGATTGCTGCGTACAAGACTGTGAAAGGAACTTCGTGTGCTAAATGCAAGAAACTTCTGGATAATTCGGCGTTGACGCCTACCGCGCGACGAAGTAAACAGGTCGCTGGAACGACTGATGCTCTTGAAACCGTGTGGGAAGCTTTTCATGAAGGCTGTATCTGAACAGACTCCGAAGATGAATCGTCTTAAGCGAAGAACCACTGCTCCCCAAGTTCGTTCTCGGGTGGCCCACCCCGATTCGCTGGCAAGTGTTGCGCATCTTGCCACCAGATTCCGTCCATGTACCGAATAGCTTCGGGGAATGTATTGTATTCCCTGTTCTTGTATGGTTCTGATTGCCAGACCGCATCCGTCCACATTCGAGGGTATCGCTTTACGTACTTTCTGGTCCGGAAATCGTAGGCCTCTTTCCGCGAACGCCCACCTGACAACATACCCCCTTCTGTCCAGGGAGCAAACTTCGAAGCGCGGAAGCCGAGCTGGTGAGGGCCGTCGAGGTGGGTGTGTCTGGTCCATTGAGCCCGCGATGGACGGTTGGCCATGAAGTCTTTCGGATCAGCCGCACAGGTGACGAACATATCGGGGCCTTTGCCTTGGAAGATATCTTTGAAGCGTCCTAATTTGGTACCCTTTCTACCGTCTTTCGGCCAGATGAAAGCTTTCGAACTTTTCACATTATGTAGTTTTCGACCGTCTTGATACCATCCATTGGGCAGATCGGGATGACCTCGAGAGTATTGGGCAGGTCCGTGTCTCCACGGCTCTGGGAGAGGAATACTGAAAGATGGTAGATAAGGCAAACGTCCGGCCATATTGTTAGGGAAGTGTATTGCTAAGAAGTGATGGCAGTGTTTCGAGATTATCTCGAGAAGTCATCGCTTTTGAAGAGCCCATGTAATCAGTCGTTTGCTAGCGCAGATTGCAGGAACGACATCGTTATACACAGCATGATAGAGGCTGAGCGTGTGTATAGTCGTTTGCGTGTCGCTACTACCTAGCATACAAAGTTTTATATCATTCCGTCATGCACCCGCTCCCATTTGGCTCATCTTTGGACTGTCAGGCGTGGCCTTGCGCCTGCTGTGTCAACTTTCCATCAAGCATGTAAACCCCACTCTTACCAAACTGAGGTGAAGCATCTAACGTGACTGAGATAATATTTCAATCTAACGATGCTCTGAGAAGATAAGATGGTACTAGTCCTTTCACACGACGCGGTACCTGAAAGACAGGGATCGCGAGGGTCCGAGCTCTCAAGCTTGAACAACGCGATCTCGTTTCTCCAGGTTTGTTTTCGGGACCATCAACGACACCGCCCAATACACCACCATGTCGCTTTTCGGCAATCTTGGAGGCTCGCAGCCCGCCTCTACTGGCGCATCCGGCGGAGGACTGTTTGGAACAGCAACCGGCGGATCAGGCGGTACCGGATCAAGCTTGTTTGGCAACCTGGGCAGCGGTACTTCGAATGCGCAATCTGGTACGACACAGGCACCAAGCTCTGGAGGCTTAGGAGGCGGACTTTTCAGTGGATTGGGCGGAGCAAAGCCAGCTACGACCACGACATCATCGCTGTTCGCTGGCGCTGGATCGACTTCGCAGCCGCAAACACAAACGCAACCCAGCAGCCTTGGGCTGTTCAACAACGCGGCGTCGCAATCAACAACCAACAACGCGCAACAAACGAGCGGTTTCGGGCAGTCTTCTCTCTTCGGCGCTACCTCGAACCAGCAGCAACCCCAACAGCAGCAGCAGCAACAGCAACAGGGCACGTCACTAGCCCAGGCAAACGCTGGCACCGGTCGCTCAGCTCACTTCGATAATCTGCTCGAGCGAGGGCGAAAGCGCAATGCTGGTGAGAATGGCACGACCAACTTCGACGAGCTGCCGTCCCTGCAGTTGGGCCTTGGAGACATCGCACGCAAGGTGCGCAACCTGGGCGCTGGCGGTCCCTCAGCCGACCAGGTCCAGGACCGCTCACAGGATCGCGCTGCGTAGGTTCAGCACAATCGTGACGTGTGATCGCATGCTGACTACTTCCAGACACTACCTACTCTCCGCCTCCGGCGTGAAGATGGGTAGCACCCTCCGCGACCTCAACCAATTCTCCTCGCAGGCCGGACTCGCCGCACCCGGTCAGCCACAGAACCTCTTCGATAACGACGTTGACGGCTACATCTCCAACCTGCACTCGCAATCAACCCTGGCGCTTATCCAGGAAGGCCTCGAGCAATCCAAGCGCGACTTCGACACGTTCCTCGAGGACAATGTTCAGATTGAATGGGACAAGCAGAGGCAAAGGATCTACGAACACTTTGGGCTTGGCCGACAGAGCGAAGACATGGCAGCATCTCAAAGCGGCGCATTCGGCAGCACAGCTCGCGGAGCTTTTGGACGCGCGACTGGGCGCAAGGGCCGTTCCATGGGACCCAACGGTGCATCTGTCAACGGACGATCAACCTTTGGAGCCTCTGCTGCTGGGCCGCCCGTTCTCGGTGCTTCCCAGAGCGTTCTTGGTGGCCGCGATTCTTCCGACAAGTCAGTCATGGGTGGACAAGCTGCTCCTCAGGATCGATACGCTCGTGACAAGCAAGAGAAGTTTATGGAAGAGGTCAAGAAGCTCAACGAGTCCAGGCTGCGGGAGAGTACATTCTCGGTACTTCATGCGTTCTCTGATGTAGAGAAGGCTGCCGGTACAGAATACTCGGAGCAGTTCACACGCGCCTACGGAACGCTCATCTCCATCACCGGCGAGAAGACCGAACTCGAGGCATCCAACCCTGGCTCGAACCAACCGAAAGAGCGAAGTTTCGCCAGAGACTACCTGGACGAACAATCAAACTCTGCTGCTAGCGTTCGCATGCGCAAGCGCATACTCGACGGGTCTCGAAAGTACCTTGAAAGCAGGTTCCTGGAGCAGGTGGAAGACGTCCTACGGAGAAACCCCGCGGAGGCGCTTGTTGGTGGTGTTCCCTCAATGCTCAACAAGATCCGAGGCTTCGTGAGAGCAAAGGCTGCATTCAAGGAGCTTGGCGCAGACACTGAGCTATTCCAACGGATAGGCGAAGCTGGTGAAGAGTTTCCCTGGATCATCATATTCTTCCTCCTGAAGGGTGGTCTGCTTACCGAGGCTGCTGAATATGTACGAGAGAAGAGGAACTTCTTCCAGAACACCGACCGAAACTTCCAGGCGGCGATATCCCAATACGCCAGCGATCCGGACCGAAGACTAAACCCCGATACGCAACAGAAGGTCGCTCACACACATGCCCAGAGGACCCGCTTGAAGACGCCAGAGGACCCTTACCGACTGGCTTGCTACAAGATCGTTGGTCGATGTGATATGAGCAAGCGCAACCTGGAGCCGATCAGGGAGAACATGGACGACTGGGTATGGCTGCAGTTCAACCTGGCCCGCGAGGGAAACCGCGCTGAGGAAAATGCCGGCGAGATCTTTGGCTTGGAAGAACTGAGAACAGTCATCAAAGACATCGGCCAGCGCCACTTCATGAACGACGACGCTGAATCATCGGGCGGCTATGGAGTTTACTTCTATCTCGCTACGCTGGCTGGCCTGTTCGAGCCAGCTATCAACTACCTGTACACCCACAACTACGTCTCTGCGGTTCATTTCGCGGTTGCTCTAGACTACTACGGCCTCATCCGCGTGTCGGACTGGACGACTGCGGGTGGAGAGATCATGACCTTCACTACGCGACAACAACCACAACTCAACTTTGGACGCATCGTGGGCCACTACACAAGCGACTTCCGTGCTGCACGAGCTGACGCGGCGGCCGACTACTTGGTGCTGATCTGCATGAATGCGGATCTACCAGGTGAAGCAGGCCGACAACAAGCAGAGCTCTGCCATGAAGCTCTTCGCGAACTTGTTCTTGAGACGCGCGAGTTCTCTACCTTGTTGGGTGACGTCAAGTCCAACGGCGAGACGACACCAGGTCTCATCCAGGAACGCGTGCCTTTGCTCAAGCTGGACGGCGAGATGGGCTTGTTGAACACCATCACCAGCGAAGCCGCGAGGATGGCAGACGACAACGGACGCATCAACGACGCCATTCTACTCTGTCATCTTGCTGGCGAGTACGACAGTGTCGTAACGATCCTGAACCGCGCGCTGGCTGAGGCACTCTCTGTAGAACTCGGTCAAGAGCCTCTCCGTCTGGAGCCGTTGAAGCCGCGTCTGACAGCTGCGGAGTCACAACAGCAGCAACAACAACGAACCGATCTGACTTCGTCGAGCTTGAGTATGCTGGGAACAGATGATCCCGTCGAGCTCGCGCAGAAGGTTCTTGCGTTGTATGACGCGAACAGCCTGTGGTGGAGGAAGGTGTCGCAGATGAACCGTGACACAGTTGGAATACTATTCCAGCTCAACAACGCGAAGAAGATCATCGAAGCCGGCGACTTCATGGCCGCACTTGGCGTAAGTTCTCACTTCATTGTCTCTCAGAACCAGTCACTAACATTCCGCAGCAAATCGAAAACCTCCGCATTCTTCCTCTATCAGCCAACGGCAATGTCAGCGACATCCGTGCCACCGCCAACAGCTTCAACTCATACCCACAAGAGATCTCACGCAACATTGGCAACGTACTTCTCTGGTGCATTGGCTGCTGCTCGAGACATCGTGAACGTCTTCTGTCCGGACAGTTCGAGGACAAGATGCGCAAGGTTCTCGCTGATCAGCTCCTGCAAAAGGCGAAGGACCTCATGGTCTTTGCCGGTCTGATCAAGTACAAGTTGCCACCGAGGGTGTTTGAGACGCTGGCAAGGGAGGGTCAGGAGGTTGGTGCTTTCTAGAGCTGAGGTGGTAACGATAGATGTTTGCAGGTTGGAGTCTTTGGATTTGGTAATGCAGTCATAGCATGCGCTTGGAAACGCTTGGGTTCGTGAGGAAAAGGTGATTGAGCATCTGCGCAGCGATTGGGCACGTTTGGCTTGACATAGAGTGATACCAATAAATCATTATAATTCGCGGCCAATCGTACCTCCCTGTGATCGTGATGCTGGGACGCCTTCGCCGGAAGAGGCCGCGTGGGGTGATGGCTAAGAAGAGCATGTCACAGTAGTGGTACGGTCACCGTGGCGCAGGCGATGTCTCACCATCTTGGCCATTGTTGGCATGCAACTACCACCGATTTAAGCAACGAAAAGGTCGTCCGATGCCAGGAACGTGCCGGTGGCCGGTGTTGGAGTTCGCCAGACGATCCTTCGAGGCTCGGGCTGATCGGCGGAGTGGTGTGACCCCACTTGACGGACCGGGGAGCTCTTTTCTTTTGGAGCTCCCACGTCATATGCGCGCGACGCCGCGACCCATGCTCCGACTCCCATCACCTTATCGCCAGTTTGAGTAATACCTACAACTGTTGCCTATGATACATAAACACTACGTAGAGGTCATCTAATCACCAACTAATCGTATTACCTCTGCTACTCACAACCACCCAGGACTCGGCAAAGCTACCCCTCCAACCACCGTTGAGACCTGAATCTTCCCAACACGTAGGGACCCGCTTCTTCTCGGCGTCTTAACTTTTCCAACTAGACAGGTGAATCCACATTGACCTCATACTGACCCACGGCCAAATATCTCTTCGGACCTTCGCATCCAGCTGCGACTACCTCCAGCCTCCACTTACTACCTCAACTTCAATCTACACCTCTCACCCCGCCTAATACCCCAATCAACAACACCCAGACTCACAACATGGCGCCCACCGAGATCCCGCCGCCCCTCGATGGCAAGAAGAGGCGCATTGGAGTCATGACGAGCGGAGGTGACGCGCCCGGCATGAACGGAGCGGTACGCGCTGTAGTGCGTATGGCGATTCACAACAACTGCGAGGCCTTCGCTATATACGAGGGTTACGACGGTCTAGTCAAGGGCGGAGACATGATCAAGGAGATGCACTGGGAAGACGTCAGAGGCTTCCTGTCAGAAGGTGGTACCCTCATTGGCACAGCACGATGCATGGAGTTCATGCAGCGCGAAGGCCGCCGGACGGCCGCGAAGAACATGATCATCAAGGGTATCGATGCGCTGATTATCTGCGGTGGTGACGGATCCCTCACAGGTGCTGACAAGTTCCGCGCCGAGTGGCCGGAGCTGCTGAAGGAGCTGGTGGAAGAGAAGCAGCTCACACAGGAGCAGGTTGAGCCCTTCAAGCACCTGAACATTGTCGGTCTCGTCGGCTCCATTGACAACGACCTTTCCATGACCGACGCTACCATCGGCTGCTACACCTCGCTCGGACGTATCTGCGAAGCCATCGACTCAGTCGACACCACCGCCGTCAGTCATCAGCGTGCTTTCGTTATCGAGGTTATGGGTCGACACTGCGGTTGGCTCGCACTCAGCGCCGGTGTCGCAACAGGCGCCGACTTCGTCTTCACACCCGAGAACCCACCAAGCGAAGGCTGGCAGGAACAGATGTGCAAACAGATCAAGAAGCAGAGACAGATGGGCAAGCGGAAGACTATTGTCGTGGTCGCCGAGGGTGCCATCGATCGCAACTTGAACAAGATTACCTCAGAACAGGTCAAGGACATTCTGGCGAAGGAGGCGAAGCTCGACACACGAGTGACGACCCTAGGACACGTCCAGCGTGGAGGTACACCCTGCGCCTACGACCGTATGCTTGCGACACTCCAAGGTGTTGAAGCTGTCAAGGCGGTATTGGAGGCCACCCCCGACACACCCAGCCCGGTCATCTGTATGCAAGAAAACAAGATTGTCCGACGGCCACTCCTCGAGGCTGTTGCACAAACCAAGGAAGTCGCTGTAGCCATCGAGAACAAGAACTTCTCAAGGGCCATGCAGCTCCGTGACACCGAGTTCGAGCAACAATACCAAGCCTACCAAATCACTACAGCACAAGACCAGCCAGACCTACTATTACCAGAGAACAAGCGCATGCGCGTTGGTATCATCCACGTAGGTGCCCCAGCCGGAGGCATGAACGCAGCGACCCGTGCTGCGGTCGCACACTGCATTGCTCGCGGCCATACACCAGTGGCGCTCCACAATGGTTTCCCTGGCATAATCCGCCACCACTCTGATGAGCCAGTGGGCGCAGTGCGCGACATCAAGTGGATTGACGCTGAGACCTGGGCCTCCAAGGGTGGATCTGAGATCGGAACGAACCGTGGGCTTCCTAGTGAGGATCTCGAGACTGTTGCGTTCGTCTTCAAGAAGTTCAACATCCAGTCTCTATTCGTTGTTGGTGGTTTCGAAGCATTCACAGCTGTCTCGGAGTTGAGGAAAGCACGAGAGTACTACAAGTCTTTCAAGATTCCTATGGTGAGTGCATATCCTGATAATATAGTTTCAGCCACTCGATAAGCAGCATGCTAACTAGACTTTAGGTCATCATTCCTGCCACCATCTCGAACAACGTCCCCGGAACAGAGTACTCCATCGGTTCAGATACCTGCCTGAACGCCCTCATCCAATACTCCGATGCCTGCCGTCAATCAGCATCGGCGTCTCGTCGCCGTGTCTTCGTTATCGAGACTCAAGGCGGTGAATCAGGTTACATCGCAACAGTCGCCGGTCTCAGTATCGGAGCTATGGGCGTATACACTCCCGAAGAAGGCATCAGCCTCAAGATGCTCGACCGCGACATTGACCACCTCCGCGAGGTCTTCAAGAAGGACAAGGGTATCAGCAGGTCTGGTAAGGTAATCCTAGTCAACGAGAAGGCATCCAAGACCTACAACGTGCAAATCATCGCCCAAATGATCGCGGAAGCCGGCCAAGGCAAATTCGAGTCCCGTCATGGAGTACCCGGCCACTTCCAACAAGGCACCATTCCCTCGCCCATGGACCGTGTCCGTGCCGTCAGGTTCGCCATCAAGGCCATGCAACATCTCGAAAACTACGCCGGCATGGACCCCGACGAGATCGAAGACGACTCCATGTCCATCAGCGTCATCGGTATCAAGGGCAGCAAGCTCCTCTTCTCCCCCATGGAGCAAGTGGAGAAGAGGGAGACGGAGTGGCACCGCCGCCGCCCCAAGCACGAGTTCTGGATGGCGCTCAAGGAGACGGTTGATACGCTGAGTGGCAGGCCTCAGGCGCCTGTTAACCCGGATGATAGTGCTACGTTGGCTGGACGGCCGAGAGCTACGAGCAAGGCTTATGGGTATTAGGGTGTTGGTTTGTAGCAGTTGACGAATGCGACGAAGGGGTTATGATTATGAAGGATGGTATTTGTAGATAGATGGACTTGGCTTTCCTATGGTAACGAAATGACTTTGGAATGATACATGATTAATACTCAACATGCATCATACTACGATATCATCGAAGCATTAAAATTTTCGTGTAGTCTGGTTTGAATCGAGTTTTCTACTTTGGAATGATCCCCCGTCAACATATTCCCAAGTCGTCGCCGCTGCCGCCCAAACGGTACCTGGTATGACGCTGACTAATATGACGTATGCCCCTCCAACGCGAGCATAACTTTTCCCATCCGACATCCTAATCTCAGCCACCCAATCAACAGTCACAATGAGCGAAACCAAGGAAATGGTCGTTATACTCACGGGAGCTTCTCGCGGTATGTATTGTCTATCGCTTAGCCTTATGTTCTGGTCAAACATGCATCACACTTCCGTAGTCTGCAACCCTCCCACATTTGTGATGAATGCCACATGTGAAAGGCATCATCCACACCAACGCAGACTCTCATACCGCCAAATTCCTCACTGACCCGCCCTCACAGGCATCGGCCAAGCAATAGCCCACCACCTCCTCTCCCGCAACCACAAAGTCGTCCTTGTCTCACGAACTGAATCGGCTCTGTCTGCCCTCCAATCCCAGTATGGAAACGAGAGAGTAGCTGTCCTCGCTGGCGATATGGCCGATGCTTCGCTCCCGCAGAAAGCGGTTGATATGGCGAATGAGCGGTGGGGACGCATTGATTCGCTGATTGTAAATCACGGGACGCTGGATCCGGTGAAGAAGGTGGCGGATAGCAGTGCGGAGGAGTGGAGGAAGGGGTTTGATGTTAATGTCTTTAGTGCGGTTGGTATGGTAAGTCGAAATCTCGTTCTGGTCTATTCATTTCTTCTTCTATCGACGATACTTACTCAGACCTTCAACATCAACATTACTTATCCTGGCCTTATGCAACGAACTAACCCCCTGCTCTATCTAGGTCCAAGCCGCCCTCCCCTCTCTCCGCAAGACTTCCGGTACCATCCTCCTGACCTCCTCCGGTGCCGCAACCTCCGCCTACCAAGGCTGGGGCTGCTACGGCGCGGGAAAAGCTGTGTTGAACCACCTCGCCCTCACGCTCTCGGTTGAAGAACCGTCCATTACTACCATTTCAATCCGTCCCGGTGTTGTAGACACAGAGATGCAGCGTGAGATCCGCGAAGTGCACCACGAGCGTATGAGCGAGAAAGATAGGACTAAGTTCAGTGGTCTGAAGAAAGAAGGTGGACTGTTGAAGCCGGAGCAGCCGGGGTACGTCATGGCCAGGTTGGCTGCGGCTAAGGGGGAGGATGTAAAGGGCTTTAATGGACAGTTTTTGAGCTGGAATGATGAGAGTTTGGGGGCTTTTCAGCAGGATTAGTTGGCGATTGGTGATTGGGAATATGGCCATCACGTTTGACGCGCTTCAAGTATCTTCAACTAAACTCATCCGATCCGACTCATCTGAATCCAACTCATCTGGATCCGACGCATCCGAATCCGACGCATCCGAATCCGACTCATGTGGATACGCCATATCCTCCTCTTCCTCTTCATCCTCTTCATCCTCCTCCTCCTCATTGCGGTACTTCCTTCTAGAATTTGGTATCTCGCTCTGCCCGTCCAGAAACTCAATGACCTTTTCCTCCCAATCTAGGTACGGAGTCCATACCCTAATGATCTCATCAAGCGAGTATACGCACCTAATCGTTTCTGAATACCAATTTGACCTTGTGTGACCCCAAGATACACTGACTTGCGCTCCTTCTGCTTGGAAGGCATGGCAAAAAGGGACTAGAATGCCGAATAGTAAGTCCCATTGCTTGAGGCGGATCTCTGTTTGTATGATTGTGATACGCAGCTTAAAGTCTTTCTTCCGGAGGATACCTTTGGTTAGTTGGGTAAATGCTTCGCTTAGCATAGCTTCGTTGATTTTTGCAGGTGTATCCCATTGAAACTGTTCCTGCGTAAGATGCAGATCCATCGTTCGTAGATGCTCTGTTGGCAGTACACCAAGATTAAACACATCATCGTGAAGCAGTGAATGTATGCGTTCAGGACTTCTGACCAAGAAAGCATCTTTCCGATAGGCCGAAACGCGGTAGTACGCCTCCAAGGCTTCTCGGGCCGTGTCTGGATCGACGCATAAAGGATTGATGGCTATGGGTTTCGTGCTGTGGCCGCCACGGGGGTGTAGATGAGGCTTCAGCCAGAGGTATGTACTACTTCCTGCAGCGGGAGACATGTACCCCGACGTTAGCCCGAGAAAATCCTCGTCCCAGATGTAGTCGTATATTAAATCACGCAGTTCCCGTGGTAGCCGGGCTTGTATCAGAGTGGCAAGGTAGAGGCATGCTACCTGCGCATAGCTCTGGGCGACTTGATCAAATGCACTTTATTCCGTCAATTAGTACATGGATAAGCATCAAACAGGGTGTTAAGATCGCGTACCCTCCTCTGAGTAAGTCACGAGCGCGATACGCTTTCCTTTTATCCCATTCGCTCTTTTCCTTGTGCTGCAACCAGACCGAGTTCCTGTCAAAGTGTCAGACTTCAATCTTACACCACTTCGGCAGTGAGGCGGCTGACTGTTCAGCTGTGCTTCTAAATATCCCATTGGCTTTGTTCCTGTTATTTTCGTTCATCGCAGTCGTGTTGATCCTCATTTGGGTGAACGCAGAGAGATAACCTGCTACCATCTCATGTCGCATGGCATGCTCGGATAACCGCCTTTCTGCGGCGGCAAGTTCTGACCGCAAGCCAGCCTCGCGCCTTTGTAGGAAACCTTGTCGTTGTGTAGTCATGACGTCGGCTACGTGGTTGTAACTTTTCATCGTGCAAAACACCGAAGTTCGAGTTGTGACACCTTAGAAGCTAGAACGCTAGTCTCAAAAGGGGAAGGTTCCATTGCCAGTACACGAAAGACCTCGGGAGCGTATTTCCAAAGGTTTTGACACAAACGCCCAATCCCAGAGGTGCAGCATTGTCCGGGGTGGTTGTTTTGATAACGGGACCTCGCAAAAGATGCTCTTTAGACCGCGGCATCGGGGCATATGCGGTGGCATCAGCCGCATGATAGTCAGCACTAGCTCGCTGGTTAGTTCCAAGGTTATACCGAGGCGCATTATCTTGCAGACGTAATCAATCTGAACCATGTACTCTGCAGATAGGGAAAGATCATGGGCGTTGAATGAGAACAGAGAAAGATGCATCAAAATTAACTACGTAAAATGGTTCCTCATAGCTTCGACTTGGACACGATCATGGAGTTGCCAATGTTCAACCACTTGACAGCATCTGTGACGAGCTCATCAACAATCTCCCTCGCGTTCTTCCTCTCGTTAACAACAGCAGCGACCTTGCCCATCAGGAACGGCCGCGCGTTGTCCATGGTCTCGTCGTCAAGGTCATCGCCCATCTTCTCGAGATCATGCTCGACAGGCAATATGCCCTTAGCAGTGAGCTCCTTGATCTCTTGTTGCCTGTTCTCCTCCCAGTTCTGGACGTATGGGTTGGTGCGGATGCGGAGGGGGCGTCCTGTGAAAATGATGGTGCGGATGTTGTCGTCCCAGCCAGCTGTGCGGACGGCTTCTTGGTGGGCCTTGGGCGCACCGGCTTCCTCGGAGAGGACGAAGCGTGTTCCGACCCAGACACCGGTGGCGCCAAATGTGAGCATGGCAGCGAGCGACTGGCCGTTGTAGATACCGCCAGCAGCTACGATTTGTACCTGCTCGCCGGTCAAGGGCGACTTGTGGCCCTCAACCATCTTCACCGCTGCTGGGATGAAGATGGATGTGGGAACGTCTCCAGTGTGTCCTCCGCCCTCGCCTCCTTGTGCGCAGATGATGTCGACGCCGATGTCGAGGCACTTCTTGATGTGCTTGGGGTGGCCGATCATGTTCATGTAGAGGATTCCGTGCTTGTGTAGCTTCTCGACGACGGCCTTGGGCGGGACACCGACGGCGGAGACGAATAGTTTGGCGCCGGAGTCGATGATGATGTCGACGAGCTCGTTCAGCTTGCCCTTGGTGTAGTCGTAGCTATATGCCGTTAGTCGCGTGCCTTCTGGCATGTGATGGATCGCCCAGTACGTACTTGGTCTTGCGCGCGCTGCCTCCAACCTGGGGAAGGAGCAGGTCGATGCCGAATGGCGCGTTCTTGTCGTTCAGGTATCCCTTCAACTCGGCGATCTGCTCGCGGAGCATGTCGGGTGTGTATCCGACACCGCCGATGACACCGAGACCTCCAGCGTTGGTGACGGCGGCGGCAAGCTTAGGTCCAGCAGCCACGTTCATGCCCGCAAGCATGACGGGGTGCTCGATCTTCAGCAGGTCGGTGAGCTTGGTGCGGATTTGCTCTGAGGTTTGTCAGCTGGGCACATGTGAATGAGGCGTGGATGCGTACGTGGAGAAGCCATGATGACGGTATAGAGGTTTGCGGTTGAGAAAGGGAAGGTGAGAGGTAATTCAACAGCGAGAAAGGAAGACGAGTGGATCGAGGATTCGGGCGAATTCTTAAGGTTTGAGGAGTCGGGCCCTTTCTTATGGTTGAGGAGTCCTGGTCGACTCTCTTCAAGCCGTGAGCCGAGGCACGACGCATGTCTCACGCGGAGAGCGCTAACCGCTTATCGTCTAGTGCCATCCGGGGAAGGCTGTCGGCATCGCGCGCCTGCCTCTGTCTGTCCCACCGCGTCACATGCTAACATGTTCACTAGTGCATCCAGATGTTTGGCCTCGCTCAGGGCCGTCCCATCACGGTGTCCACGCCGTGTAGCCCTCTCAGTTGACACTATCCACGGCAAGGTCTCTAATCGATCGAATTTTCACTCGTCACCCACTCAACGCCAGGAATGTGATGTGCCCTCCGACTCTCGCGTTCCGCACGAGCCTCCATCGCAAGATGTGCGGACAGTGTTTTCTTATAAGCCTGTCTACCGTAAGAAGGAACTTGCCGTCGTTGCTTTGGGGAGCAACATGGGCGACAGAGTGGCCATGATTGAACGTGCATGCAGAGAGATGGAGTCAAGTGGAAAAATAAAGATCGTACGAACCAGTAGTTTGTGGGAGAGCAAAGCCATGTACGTACTCGATCAGGACAACTTCGTCAATGGTGCCTGTCAGGTATGCTAAATAATGTCCCTTCTTTCAAACGTCAAATTTACGCAAACAGATAGAAACTAGTCTGTCACCAATCGAACTCTTAGACGCGCTTCAGAAAGTTGAGAATGACATGGGCCGCGTTAAAGTCATCGACAAAGGACCCAGAAATATTGATTTGGACATTTTACTTCATGGAAACGAGAAAAGTTCCAGCGAAAGACTTACGATCCCGCATGCGTTGATGTTCGAGAGGCAGTTCGTTCTACGCCCTCTTGTTGAGTAAGATAATCATCTATCTGGCCAGTGAAACGGTGCTGATCCTCTCTAGACTTTTGCGCAATCAGCGTGAAGATTACCCATTCTCGAATCAAATTAAACGCCATTTCAAAAGACTCCTTAAATCAGAGGTGCCGCTGGTGCCGCTGACGCCACTTGGACCAGATCTCTCCCCAATATCGTCTTCTCGGATAGCGAATAACACGAGGATCATGTCTATACTGAATGTCACACCGGACTCATTCTCCGATGGCGGCCAGAACTACAATATCGATGGAGCAACCCTAGCGAGCACCATTCGCGAACACATCTCGGCCGGAGCCACAATCATCGACGTAGGCGGACAGTCAACACGACCCGGTGCCGTCCAGGTCTCCGCGGAAGAAGAGCTAGAACGTGTCCTCCCAGCTGTAAAGCTAATCCGCTCAATGCCAGAGGCAAACAACATCGCAATCAGCGTTGACACATACCGCGGCAGCGTCGCCGAAGCCGCCATTAACGCCGGCGCAGACATGATCAACGACGTCAGTGCAGGTGCCATGGACGACACGATGCTCTCCACCATGGGAAAACTCGGCTGTACAGTCTGTCTCATGCACATGCGCGGCACGCCGGAAACCATGACCAGTCCTGAAATGACATCCTACCCCGACGGCATCATAGAGACAGTAGGCCGCGAACTCGTCGAGCGCGTTATTGCTGCGGAAAAAGCGGGTGTCAGGCGCTGGCGTATCGTTCTCGATCCTGGTATTGGCTTTGCGAAGACAAAGGAACATAATCTTGAACTACTTCGCCGACAGGATGAGTTGATGAGGTATCCGGGTCTAGAAGGCATTCCTTGGCTTGTGGGCACGAGTCGGAAGAAGTTTATCGGCGATATTACGGGGGTCAAGGAAGCGAAAGATAGGGTCTGGGGGACTGCTGTTGGGGTGGCAGCGGCTATCAGGGGTGGTGCGCATATTTTGAGGGTCCATGATGTTAAGGAGATGGCGCAGGTTGCGAAGATGGCGGATGCGCTGTGGCGCACGTGAACATGACGCGGCGTGACAGCCTTCCAACGATCTTCGCTCTCGCCCTCATTTCGTGGGAGGTTTCAGGCGTCATCTGTGTTGTTGGTCCCGCTCCACGCGGTAGCGCTCCGGTTGGTTCCGAGTCCTTCATGAACTTGGTTGTCGACTCGCTTCCACAAAGTCTGAACCAAACAAAGAATACGTGGAAGGAAAACCTGTAACCTCGAACATCTCACTTCTCTTTACCCTCAACATCAAACATGGCGAACCTTCGTGAGCTCCATCAAGAACTGCGACGCGTACAGGACCGAGTCTTTCAGTAGGTGGTTGTCGTACTTCGTCGCTGCCCGTTTTGACCAATTCTTACAGGATCAAACGTCGTCAGAACGAGTAAGCACGTTCATACTAGATGCTGTCAAAGACTTGAAAGCAGCTAATGGTAGACTCAAGTGAACTATGGATGGCAAGTAGCTACTCTTGGAGTGCCGATGATTGGAACGAGTGGAAAGGGTGAGTTCTCATGATTCCAAGAAGATGTAGCTTCACGGTGAGCAATAGCTTACAGACACAGTTTGAACGAAGAACTGGAAGCATTATACGAATCACACTCAAAAGCCTGGAACAAACTTTACTACGCCAGAATGCACGACCGTCTACCGCGCGAGATCCGAGATATGATCAATGCCGAATTCTGGGATGAAGACTACTTGAAAGGCTTTGAAGGCTTTGAGGTAGCCTGGAACGCTAAGGAAGAACCCACGCATTACCACCGTCCGGGGGCCAATCGTATTCTGCGCATCTCACATGTCGTCCTACCAGATTACGTAGGAGCCGAAGCGGCGAAAGAGAACCTCCAAATGTGGTATGAGAACTACGGAGCCATGAATTCCGGCCACTGCACCTGGCTCGTACTCGGCAGCCACAACATAGGTGAACAGCTAACAAGAGCTATTTGCAAAGATACTTTCGGGGTTGGCTTGGATCCTGCCACTGCTCTCCGAAAGATGGTTATCGAAATTCCCGACACCTCTCTCGTGCTAGGCCACGAGCACTCCGACTTTAAAGACGCTACCTCACGTCAGAACGCGCTCAATCTCCTTCTTCGCATCAAGAAGAAGAAAGGATTCAAGCTCGAAATCAGAATCTACCACGATTGCATTCGTCTCAAGATGTGGCCTGAAATCCTTGGTCTCCTGCAACCCATCGTTAAGGTATTTGAGCAGGAAGGAGCCCACGTCAGTGTTCAGTCTGACTATGATCCTATGCGCACGGATTCCATGGATGAGGACCCGGGTGTTAATACTGATATGGAACACCTGATCAGGACATACGATCCGGCGACTTGGGAGCAGAGCATGAAGCCGGGTTTAATCGATTATTTTGAAGGGGTAAGACGGTTGCAACTCATCTATATGGTAATATCTGATAAACGGTTTAGATTGGCGATGAGTATCTCAGACCATGGCACCGTTACTATCGGAGCGAAGAAGACAATCCAGGCTCTGATCCTGTTGTCGCTGCCTGGCAACAATCTGTTGCGCCTTATGGTAGGCGGTAAGAGGGGTTTACTTCGCTTGGGAGGAACGATGCGTGGCTATCACTGCGCGGATACATGCCAATCTAAGATTTTAGAACCACGTACAAATGTGAAAAGATTCGCACATGCTGCGTTCAATAATCGTGAGGCCACCCATGAAGTACGTTTAAGTGGGGCAAACCGCGAATCTAGCGCGACTTCGCCTTACGAACATGATGATAATCTACACTTCACGACTTCCGAAGGAGAGTAAACACTTTTGACTCAGACTGCCAGCTTTTCTTCTTTCGCGCGATACCACCACCATGAAAAGTTCACATGACTTGGAACAAGACGTGCGCGATACGTGTAATAGACTGTTCATGTTCGTATCTCCACTCTCATACACTGCTGCCTGGACTGCAGAGAAACTGACCTGCCCAACTAGCTTGAAACGCGCAAAGGCTGCTGCAGAGAAGAGGGAGCGTACAGCAGCAAAACATGAGTGGCTATCAGCAACAGAGAAGAAGACGGAAGTGCAGGCGTACGTGACCGCTAGCTCTACGCAACTCTTCAGCGCTGACGTTGCCTTGTCCATAGCGAGCTCGATGCATCCTGTGAGCAGTTATCAAAAGCTTGGAACATGTTATGTTCTGCTAGGATGCAAGAGCTACTGCCTATCGAGCTTCGCGAGATGATATATGCACAAGTCTGGAATGTGGAGTATCTCAACTCCACAAGGCAGCCAAGACAGCAGTCCGGTCCTCCCGGCCACTCCGATCCGAGGTGCCATACACATGTCGTTCGGCCCAACTTCATGGGCAAAGAGACAGCCCTGGAAATGGCGCGGGCATGGTACGAAGCAGCATCTACACTTACACCAGACACCTTCACAATCTCCGATACCCGGGAGTTGATCCAACAAACCATATGTGAAGACCTGTTTCAAGTCGGCCTAGACCCAGCAACCGTCCTCCGGACTCTCACCATCGATTTCAACGAAACCACGTCTAGGCTCGCTAGTCCGTATTGCAAGTGGCCAGACGCAGATACACGTCGGAAGTCTTTTGATCTTCTCCACCGGCTCAAGAAGAAAGCTGGTTTCCGACTCAACTTTCGTATATGCGCTCCCAAGTTCCGATTGAACTGCTGGCCCGACTTCTTCGATCTCATGCAACCAATAGTCAAGACCTTCGACAATGACGGAGTCATCGTCGACGTCCAGGCTATTCATTGTAGTCGGGGCCCTCATCCGATGCCATATGCCTATGTGGACCTCAACAAAATCGTGAGAGGCTATGATCCAAACACATGGAAGCAGGGCGTAATCGAATATCTGGACTCGGTAATACTGGCCCTCTCATGCCGAGTTCATCTCATCTTCATGCAAGTACGGCGCTAACAAGCAGAGTAGATCTGTGACTGTCGCATTAGGAATCAGGACAGACATTATCGAGGGGAGGACGAGCCGGATTACAATCCAGACGATGGGCAGGAGGATTATTGGAACTGGGATTTGCTCGAAGACACAGGTTTACGACCTTCTGATTTGGATAGGGGGTTGTCGAGACAGAATTGTGGTTGTGATGGCTCCGGGAGGCGCAGGTCGTTTAAGTCAGGCTTATAAGTGGTACGCGATGTTGGAGCTGTCATAAAGCTGTAGGCTGCAGGGAAGTCCTAGAAAGGAAGGCGGGGACGTAAACGTTAATGGATGGATGCGGAGTCTCCTTCGGTAGTTGCAGCTTGCTGCGCTTCAAGGTTGTTGCAAAAACAAGGGATCGGAATGTTCCGAGGCTGCCGCTGTGCCGCATGCCCGCAGTTGACAAACGTACAATAATCCCAACCCTTAACATCTTGACCTCCCCCGAGCGCCATACGTCTCACACTCCCCACGCTTCCCACAGTGTGAGCTCATCGCCATATACAGCCGCAACAATGGATACAGACCTGGAATCAGCGCTGGACTGTCTGCGCGAGTGAGACGGACTATTCGGCCCCACTTCGCTCTTGTGCTAACGAGCTGGCAGCATCAAGCGGAAGGACCTCGATGCTCAGAAAGAGTATGTGAATTCCAGAAATTCTCCAATCTCTAAAACTGTACTAAGAACTGCGTCAGGGTCAACTCAGTCAAAGATGAAATCGTAGCTACTAATGCAAAGCTCGATGCGTTACAGAAACAACGCAAAGAGATGACGAAAAGGAAGATTGATGCGCTTCTCCGGTAAGTGCATAGAGCTCGGAAACTTGACATTATCCCCAGCTTAATGTAATTCTACCCACCAGGAATCTTCCGTCAGCTATCCGGCGGTACTCTGCAGCCTGGAGTCTTCCATTCTTCGAAATGTTCCAACAACGTCTACCCCGCGAGCTCCGAGATATGGTCTATGCGCACATCTGGGACAGTAAAACTCTGGCCGATACAAACAGAAGTATGATACCCATCATGGACTCTCGTTGCCGGAGTTTGCGGCAAGACTGCAAGAAAGCCATGACGACGTTCGTCGAATCGGATGCGATTGACGGCTGCCATCACAACCTGGCACCATACTTTATAAAGCCAGTTTTCGTCGGGCAAGACTCTGCCCTTGAAATGATCGAAGCTTGGTATAGTCGCTTGGCTCGCGGCAACGACTACTATGCAATGGGAATACATGTGACTGACATACCGTCTTTCCTTCATCAAGACAAATTTCATGTTGGCCTGAAGCCTGCAGCTATTTTGCGAAGGCTAGCTGTCGTTTTGAACGCTGATTCAACAATCGCGATCCTCGAAGAAGAATCAGACGGCGAGCATGTTTATAAGCTCCACTTCAAAAGGCTTCTGTCCATCGAGAAGAAAAGGGACTTCACGCTGACTCTTCGGGTCCTCCAAAAATACATTAGGCTCAACGTTTGGCAGCGGATCTTCGACACATTTAGGGATACAGTTGTCAACTTTGAGAAAGCGGGAGGTCGTGTGCGGGTCCAGTTCGTGTACGACAGCTTCTACCCACGTCGAGTACCGAAGTATGATATGCTCCCCGCTCTGAGACATCCAGAATCCAACTGGCGAGAGGATGCAGTACGCTTCTTTGACAATGTAAGATCTTCCCGTCATCCATATCCTACTCACTTCATCTGACCATATGCGTGAACCAGGTTACACGTCTGTGCGACATACACAGGGCTTATCGTATCGAAAACAACGACGATTATGACCCCACTTCACGTCCCGAAGATGGCGATACTCCTTACGGGACGGATGAAGACATCTACAGCGATGAAGGCGATAGCGATGACAGTGTTGAAAGGTATCGCCATGATGGTCGAGGAAATTATCCAGGTGCAGTGTCTTCGCCACGTCAGTACGGAAGTGACCTCATACAATGGAAGAACGACTTGCTAGAGGATCTCGAAATGGAAGAAAGTGAGGCAATCAAAGACATGTACGAATACTGGGAGAGCTTCGACGCGCCCAGCTGGGTGGGCGCCTCCTCCGAGTCTGAGCACGTAGATGGACCTGGGTACGACCCAGATTCAGGTTCCGATTGAGAAGGCCGGAATAGCATCACGTGATTACTTATCTCACTCGGGTTTACTACCCTTACTAGTTAGCTCCTCAGTCATTTCAATACATATGATGCTACATAAATCTCTCGCAACCATCAGACGTTCGTGAACACTGACATATACCATGTTGTATGGATGATATACTGCGGCCATCTTAATAGTGCAGGGATTCGGATCTTCGGAATGCTAGCCGGTCCGATGCCACTAAAGCGCGAGCGCCTATCCACCGTGCCACCTCATATTCTTAGCGACAAGACTTCAACCCCCAAGGTTCATCCGCATTGATCACGCCACCCAAAAACAGCCATGGAGAGAGCAGCTATGATCGATTGGAAGCTATCGGCTGAGTCCGCAGTGCAGCGGCTTCGCGCGTAGGTCTTTGGGCCCTGTCAGCACCTCATGTCAGATCAGTTCTAACGTAGTTGCAGCATCAAGGGTATGGAATTAGACGCGAACGATACGTACGCAAAGCTCCTAGAGCTTCACTGGTGCACCTTGTGCTGAATCCTCCCAGAATTCGTACAGCTACGCGAACTATCTCAGCATTGAGAAGGCAGATCAAAGCATTAAAAATCGAAGAAGCAAGAGCGCGACAGCGCAAGAGAGACGTCCGGCGCGAGTAAGTCTTGATCTCTATGAACTCGAGCAAAGACCTCATACAAGACTCCAACACAGACACCTTCCGTTAGCTCTCTCGGCGTTCACCGCCTCATGGAGTCGCCCCTTCTTCGAGCAAATGCAACGGCGTTTGCCTCGTGAAGTTCGCGACATTGTATACGCATACGTCTGGGACGACAAGACACTGAAAGATACTCGTATAACATATCATCCTAAGTGGAATTGCTCTGGGGGCGACATAGATTGCGACACTCTAGTAAAAACGCATCACCCGGGAACAGTGGACAGCTGCCCTAAACATGGACAAATTCCATACTTTATGAGACCTGGATTCGTAGGGGATGCATCGGCCTTGGAGATTGTCGAATTCTGGTACAAGTCGATCTCAAGAGTAAAACCCGACATATGGGAATTACGAACCACAGACGAACTCGACTACGTTATCCGTGGCGACGCCTTCTCTGTCGGTTTGGATACTACAACTGTTGTGCGCAAGTTGACACTCAGGCTTACTACCGACGGATTCCTAAGGAACAAGGGCAAGGACACCAGCGAATCGAAACGAACTGTCGACGCGCTGCTCCAGATAAAGAATAAGGTGAATTTCAAACTAAGGCTGCGGTTGGAGCAGTCATACCTCCAACTCAATCCCTGGTTCACCGTCTTCGACATCTTCCGACCCATGATCGAGAAATTTGAGGAAGAAGGCGCGGACGTAAGGCTGCTTCTTGTCTACGCCCAAGATCTTAAACCGAAATTGGTGTTCAACATGCTCCCCGCGTTGAAGAATCCCGAATCCAACTGGAGAGAGGAAGCCGCTCGTCACTTCGACAGTGTAAGCACACTAATTCTACATCGCTTGCTGCCTCACACATAGTGACTTACAAACATATAGGATTCCCGCGTACGCGAGCATCACAAACACTATCGCATCGAAAACGACGCGGACTACGACCCGCGGGAACTTAAGAGCAGGGACTACAGCGAGGATGACTGGGAGTCAGACGATTACCTAGGCTATGAAGAAACTGACTCTGACCGCGATGAACATGGCAAATCTATTTCTCCGGAACCTCCATGGACCCCTTATGAGCCGCCGCGATATTATGGAACTATGTTTAGAGAGGATCAGATTGAAGAGGGGTATGAGCTGGATAGCGCGAGTGAGGGGGATGACTAGAAGGCAGGAAGCTTGTCAATTTGTTGAACTGGGCAGCATTGCTCGTGAAGCTTTAGTATCTTTACAAGAGCTGCGTTCACTATAGATATGTACTTTCTGAAGATACGAGGAAGAAGACATTACCTTGCCCGATTGTGATCAGATACAACATCGTAAGAATAATAACGCATGTCAGCCAGCGAAGTAGCGCAGAGATTCCCGACGTCATGTCGTCGCAACGCTAGCTGTTCCGACGCCACTAGAGCGCCTTCCCACCTCATGTATCCAGCCACCGTGCGTCAACTTCCATATTGCACTCACCCCGATCAGGCTGTCTAAGTCCAGCCACGGAGACGGCAATGACCGATGATCCAAAGCCACTGGAGGAGCTCAGCCCACGGACGCGCATCCGACGTGAAAACGAAAGATTGCGTAAAAAGTAAGCTCTACAAGCTCAGTAAATCGTGACGTTGATCTGATATGACGTCTACCAAATAGGTACCGTCCCTTGGTGAAAGCGATATGCCGTGTCTGCGCAACATGGAACCTTGCTTTTTGCGAACAAATGCAAGCGCGTCTCCCCTTGGAACTGCGCAACATGGTGTACAAGCATGTATGGGACGCGCCTACACTTCAATCAACACAAGGTTCAATGGCCTACCTCGTCTACCGCCGGTGTAGAGGCGCACGTAAAGGCAAGGAAGAAGAATGCCAAAAGGTGGCTTCGACGTACGAGCCAGGCACAAGATACACCTGCTACCTGCATCCCTGCTACCTGCATACCTGGACCCCTTTCTTCGTCAGGCCGGGATACGTGGGCCAGGAAACAGCTCGAGAGGTTGTGGAGGCGTGGTACAAAATCATCGGTACATGGTGGCCTAAGATGTGGAACATAGGGGACCTTATTGAGCTTCAGCACATTATACGCAGGGACGTGTTTTTCGTTGGCCTGGATCCATGGAAGTTTCTTCGCACTCTGACGCTTGACCTCCATATTGAGAGTCTCTTCACGAGTCGTGACGGCGAGTCGACTCAGGAATGCATCGACTCGCTCCTCAGCATCAAGCGCAAAACCGACTTCAAATTGATCATCCAATTGAGGCAGAGGAACATCAGCTTCAACTCATGGTCTACGGCTTTCGATGCGCTCCGGCATGTGGTCACTGTGTTTGAGGGCGAGGGCGCACACGTTGAAGCTACTTTTACCTACGACAAGGAAAGTCTCTGTCCGAAGATTACCTGGGACTTGCTTCCTGCGCTGAAGAGTGGCAATGACGACTGGCGCGCTGAAGCAGAACGTTATCTGAACTCTGTAAGTGCTCCTCATCACTGTCATCATATATACATACATACTAACACGGCTCTTCAATCCAAACAGGACAGCCGGCTTCGCTCACGACACAAGGTCTACCATCAAGCTAGCAACGTAGCGGATGTAGAACATTCCGACGAGTCGGAGTACAATCCTGATGACGATGTCGAGCCCGATGACGATGTCGAGTCCAAGGAACAGAATCTACGCGATAACAGCGACTTCAACATGTACAGTTTCATCAACGCTCTTCCGCATTTGGGTCGGGGAGACCCTTTTTACGGGACCTATCTTGAACCGAGTGACTTCAAGCCTCCTCCTCCTCCCAAAATACGCCGGCCGGCGTGGGAAGAACATCTACTGTGGAACGAATAAGGTCCTTGTGCGGAACAAAGCGGTGGTCATGGTTGAGGCTTTTAAGTCGGACGCATATGTTGGAAGATGAACTTATCACATAAACACTACATATATACAACAAGGCATCAACACCCGTCAACACCTATAAACCTCCCCCTCTTACACTCCTCCACATCTACAACTTACTCCCACCCCCCATAAGTTCCGCACCAGCCCCACTAATAGCCAGCTTACCCGTCTCCTTAACCTTAGTCTGGAACAGCACGGTATTACCAACCTTCCACATCTCGGTAATCAGTGTCTGACCCGGCAGCACAACACCCGCAAACCTAACCTTGATGTTCTTGAACGGGCCATACGTCTGCAGAACGTGCTTGCCCGAGATACCAAAGCTGCACAGGCCGTGCAGAATGGGTGTGGGGAAGCCGCCAGCTTTGCTGAACTGGGGGTCGATGTGTAGGGGGTTGAGGTCGCCGGAGAGACGGTAGATAGCAGCTTGCTCCTCGGTTGTGCGTTCCTCGACGACGGTGTCGGGGGCGCGTTCAGGTGCCTTGTGGATCTTTGTTGCGGCGCCGCGGTCAGCACCCTTCTTCTGGCCGCCGAAGTTGCCAGAGCCGCGGATGAAGACTGTGCTTTCGTTGTAGAAGATCTCCTCGCCCGTCTTTGCGTCTTTGGTTACGCTTCCGTATACGACGAGCCCTGCGGCGCCCTTGTCTACGACCTCGACTAGCTTGGGTACGGCGACGAGCTTGGCTTCGGTGGGGATGGGGAACTTTCGGATTTCGAGGAATTGCTCGCCATGGAGGAGCATGCGCGGGTCGAAGTTGGGGACGATTTCGTCGAAGGAGAAGGGGGGTTCGGCGTTGAAGGGGGGGACGACACCGAAGGTGGGGATGACTTGGAAGTTCTCGTCGCCTTCGTAGACGAAGGGCAGGTCGGTGCGCTTGGCGCCGATTCCCAGGTCTGCAGATGGTGTTAGTTGTAGTTACTCATACGGAATGAGGCTGACTTACTGTAAAGAATGACATCCCTCTCGGTGTACTCGAAGGGTGTGCCTTCAGCCTTAGCAGCCAAGGCCTTCTTCTGAGCCTCGAGGACCTCCTCGTTGCTCTTAGTAGGCTTCTTCTCCTTCTTGCTCTTCTTGCTCGTGTTCTCCATGTTCGCCATGATAGACTTGAGACCGCTAGCGTTGTCGAAGGGGTGGTCGGCACGGCCGTCGTCGAAGTTGGTAATGCGTTCCCATTGGGAGAGAACAGCCTCGGGAGTGAGCTTGACGTCCACGGGGAAACCGTGTCCGCCAGAGCGTTGCCACCTGGTCGCCGCAAACCAGCCAGAACCCATCTCGTATAGGCCACCTGTTGGCTCGGGAGCCTTGTCGGAAACGAGAAGAATGACGAGAGGAGCGTTATAATCGGGCTTGAGGGCCTGTACAACCTCTTCAGGAAAGATGCTGCGGGTCATCTGAGTGCCGGCGTTGGGAGCAACGGTGTTGACGAAGATGTTGTTCTTCTTGCCCTCAAGAGCGAGGGACTTCGA